TTTTCCATCCCTGCCCCAGACTACTGTACCTGCCACCTTAATTAGAGTCCCCCTGGTAATTTTTTTTTTTGTACTCTTCTTCTCTATAATGCTCTATGCATCCCACTGGCAATTTATCACTTTACTGAATGTTTAAATTATGCATGTGTATCATGAAAATCAATGCAGATTATTTTTTTACAAAGCCTTTCTTATATGGTTAATGGCTATTAATACAGAATTATTAATATATTGTTAAGACATTCTACATAGATTGGTAACATTGATTTTGATATATTGTCAGATATATACTATTTTAAGTTGAGAAATGTTACAGAAATGCTTTTGTTAATTTGTGGCCCTCAAGCAAGAACTGCGGTTCCTAGTTTTCATTTTCTCAAACTTCTGGGCTGCTCTGGCAAGTTTGCTGCTGTATGAAACATTTTAAAACCAGGAGAACTAAGGAGGTATTTAACAATAGTGTGGCAGACTGAAAGTTGCCAGACAGCATGATACTCCTTCAGCCCTAGGAAAGCCAGTGAGAGGGAATGTCTGCACTTTTACAAAATATTCTGAAATAGGCTTTAAATGATCAGTACCTTTTTTCTTTTCTATTGGTTTGTTCTCTGCAGGGATTCCAGGGCTTTGGGTTTGGCGATGGTGGCTTCCAAATGTCATTCGGAATTGGGGCGTTTCCCTTTGGTATATTTGCAACAGCATTCAACATAAACGACGGGCGACCTCCTCCAGGTACCATGATCCTGTCTTCTCCAAGAGTCCTGTCACAAACAGATGTGTTACAAACTCCCTTGTAAAAAAATAGCCTGCTAAATGACAAAACTTTCTGAACAGTAATCAGTGTTGTAAATAGAAACACAAAAGGATGGAAAACACCGAGTAGAGAACATAGTCTATGGTTTACGCGTTTTGTACGAGTGCTTATGTAAGAAGCAAGTTTGTCACTTCCATCTGATTTGCTGAAGGCCCCCAGTAGAACTGGAGAGGGACAGTGGCACTGGGGAATTCTCCCCTTTAATGCAAATGTCTTCTCTGGTACTCCAGTGGACTCCCTCTGAAAAATTAGACAAATGGGACTAGAGTTTCTAATAATAATAATAAAAAGGAGTCAGTAGGGGTGTATGAAGGAGATCCACACTTTGAAAACAGCAGAAAAGGACCATTTCCTGAAAGATGAGAAGGAAAAATTTAAACTGGTGCTCCGTACCACAAAATAATGACAGCAAAGGTTGTTCCTTTTTCAGAAAATTTATCTCTGAGACAGTAATGTATATTCCATAAGAAATAACTTTCTAGTGAAATGATTTCACTGGTTTTAATTAAGGAAAAAACAGTGAAAACTACTCCAAGTAGTGGCTTTGCTCTCTAAAAAATAAGTAATCCCCAGAAAACCTCCTCCCCATCTGCACTGTAGACAAACTGAATCTACCTGTTTTGAACAAGAAAACCTACTGCCCAGGATTTTCTGGACTTCCTCTGTGAAAGGTTGTGCCTGGCAAATCTTCTTCACCATGTCACGTGGCATAGGATATATGAGAAACAGAAACACATTCTTATGTCACACCTGTGTTGCCAAGGACCTGTGCTGTCCTCTGGTCGAATTAACTTGCCTATTAACTATACTTCAGTGTCCACTGAAAGTTTGTGTGGAGGTGTCACTGAGCTAAGGAGTATGTAAATATATGCTGTTGTAACAGCCATAATTTAACCAACTCCTTTATCTGCTTTTCACCTGTGGATTCAATACAGCAGTTCCAGAAGGGCACGGCTTGAGCTTTAGAGCTCGTGTACTTTTCATTAGTTCTCTTGGTCGAGGCTACACAGGCAGCTTTGACTGTTTTAAGATTTCCTTATTCAGACATATTTCACCTTGATGGGGAGGAGCACTCAGGTCGAGGGGGTAAAGTTCCCTAGGATGGAAACAGTGAACTTAGCTCAGCAGTCAACAGTGAACTAAGCACTGAACTTGGCTCAGGACTGTCCGCAGAAGTACTCCGAGCAGACCTGCGTGTACTTTAGCACTTGGCGCTGCCTGCTGCTATTAGTCATGAGCAGGTTTACCACAAGTCCTGCTTCAGGGAGCTAATGCTTGTCTTCCTTCTGATCTTCCAGTGTGGCTGGCCAGTCTGAGGGTAGGAAATAGCAACAGTTTCTCACCAAGTAGATTCCTTGCATATCTTTCAATTTATGAATGTACTATGTTCAGAATATACATGATTCTGCAGAAGAGGAAGGAGCTGAACTGGTTTTTTTGCTTCCTGTTTTCCAGCTGTTCCAGGGACTCCTCAATATGTGGATGAGCAGTTCCTATCCCGCCTCTTCCTGTTTGTGGCTCTGGTGATAATGTTCTGGCTGTTGATTGCATAAATCTTTTCCATTATTCTGTATATTCATGGCCAATGAGGCCACTGAAACAGTTACAAACTGCATCCCCATCCCATTTTAAACCTCTTGGTGTCTGGTTCTGTAGCTAACTGTGGGCTTCAGGAATTGGTGGTACCACAGCACAATGAGGAATCTCCCATTTTGCACCAGAGTTGGAAATTAAACATTGGTTTAAAAGCGTCTTTCAGAACAGCTGTCTTGTACAACAGGTTCCTGCCACAAACCATGGGCCTAGTTTGAACTCTGCTCCTAAAAGGAGTGCTGCTTTGAAATCCTGTGCCAATCAGTGACACTGGGTTTATGTGAAAGACAGTTGCCCCAAGGCAGGTAAGGAAACTTCTGCAGTGTGATCAGTTGATCAGTATCTCATGCTTGGCGACTTCGATGGATCTGCCAGAGCTGCGGATGTTATTTAATGTCTTCACATCACCATCCAACCTTCTTCAGGAAATCATCTGCAGCACTGCTGAGACTCTTCGGGCACAGCACGTGATGCAAATGGAACCAGGTTTGGAGACTGGTTTCTTTTCTTGCTGTTATTTCTCAGTGTGATGGAAAACCCCTCCTGAAGCGGTTCTAATGGCTGTTAGAAGAAGGGATACAAATTTATGCTGCAATTTTTTTTTTAAAGCCTGAATTTTCTGGAGCCAGACACTGCAAGATTCTCTCATTGTGGAGCCAGGTGGGGTTGCTGAACAGTACGACGCATCTGTCTGCCTCACCCAGCCCAGTTCCTCACTGACAAAACAGTGTTGTCTTCCTTGGTTCTACGCAGCAGCCTGTGGCTGCGCTCATGGATAATCCCCTCACAACCTTCTCGCTGTAGCTACATTTATTCTTCCCAAGGCTTTGAGACTTTCTACGCAAGGTCATGTACTCCAAATAAAATCCTATTACAGATCTGAGATCACTTGTTTGGGGAGAGGAACAAAAGGCATATTTACGTGAGTTCTGAGGTTAAATTTGTCATACTGTAAAATTATACAGGAGGAAAAAGGAGATCCTGCCTTTGCTAGCACATGGCACAGTAGGGAACATTTGGAAGAGCTTCTCTCTACAGGTGCATACAGCTACTCCATGCCACAGCAGGATGGCTATAGTGCAAAATGTCTGCACTATCTACCAAAGATATTAATTTGAAGTGCTGGAGGAGACCACAACCGTTTATGTGCTATGGGGAGAATATTTCAGAAGGTGAGCACTCTGCAGCTGTTTTGGAATCCTGTTGAGTATACAGCTTTAAAGAGTACTCCTCATATATTTGTGTAGATTCCTTCAGAACAGCAGATATGAGAGATTCTCTAGCAAGGTGAACAGTTTTCGTATTTCTCTGACTAGGCAATTTCATTTTTTCTCTTATTGTTTGTAGATTAGTTTGATTCAGATCTCTGATAGTCATAATCATTTCCTACAAGATGAATATTGTGTACTGGCAATAGATGGACAACTGACAAATCAACTCATAGAAACTTCGTTTCAATAGCTAGGGTTTTTCTAGCGTATGGATGAGGTTCCTGGTCAGGACACCTTAATTAATTGTTGTACAAGCTTATTTAATTATAAACTGTTCACTTTTAGTATCAAGACAGAGAATGACTGAAATTTAACTTGCCTACCTCCAAAGTTCCGTCTGGCAAGTAGAATGTTGCAAAGCTTCTGCAGTGTTTTGCCACATCTAGTCAAATTTACACTGGACTTGATGATAATCTGGCAGAATTTATTGCTCAACTATAAATAGTTGAAGTGGTGCTTCAACTTTTCTCGTGTGGCACTTTGGGGAAGCTTAACTTCTTCTGCATATGGTTCTTCTCAAGTGCGTAACTTCATAACCAGGACCCTTTCTAGGCTATTTATGGCATTCTTAAAAGCAACTGGCTGTCTTACAATGTTGCGGCTTTGACTTCCTTTCATGAGCAGGCAGCACCACCTGCTGATGAAAAGGGAAAGTTCATGTGATAGTAAAAGGGATGGTTTTCCTTCTTTTTGCATTGAGAAACTCGATGCTAAGAGCTGAGGTTACCCGGGGAGAAGTAGGGTATCCCTTTAAAGCCGTTTTCCAATAAGAGGACAAAAAAGTGACTGTAAGAGGTTCAAGAGGTATTGAAACTAATTTAACTAACAGTTATGTTTTAAAATACAGAATTTTAATGGCTTGGTTGTTTTTCCCATCTATTGGTGAGAGACATAATGGATTTAGACAGGTGGCTGCAGAAACATGACTGAGAGTCCTTACTTTCTGGCAATCCAAGAATGAAATAGTCTAAAAGTGTTAACGCTTTTGTTCCTACCTTTTTCCTGATGTGCTTTTTGTATTGTACCACTTCCCTCCCCCCTTGTACTCAGACTGCACACAGCCCATAATGGCTTGTCTGGTGCATTACCATTACTGTTCACTAATTTTCACTGTTGTGAAAGTGATTTAGAATTAAAAAATGGTTTTACATTGACCAGAGTGCTAGTCTAAAAGTGTTAACGCTTTTGTTCCTACCTTTTTCCTGATGTGCTTTTTGTATTGTACCACTTCCCTCCCCCCTTGTACTCAGACTGCACACAGCCCATAATGGCTTGTCTGGTGCATTACCATTACTGTTCACTAATTTTCACTGTTGTGAAAGTGATTTAGAATTAAAAAATGGTTTTACATTGACCAGAGTGCACCGCCATTCCTTCGCGCTCTGCGGGCAGGCCGAGGTGAGGCGCTTGCCCGAGCCCTACCTGGAGGACGAGGAGCCCATTGCTGGTCCGTGCCTCAGGAAGGGGGAGGGACAGGGGCTCACTTCTCCCTCACCGGGGGGGGCATCGGGTACGTTCCGCGAG